CTATTCACAGCTACCACGTCCAGTTCTTCTCAGTGGCTCATCTCCTAGATGATGTTATTCACTGCCTTATCTAGTTTTTTATTAAGGAGACTCTCGATTATCTATAAATCAACCTAATTCTTAATCAAGACTGTCCTCACATCATTCTTAGTTTCAGAGAGACCATTTATCTGCACTCTTACCTTCGTTTCATTGCTGGACAATTGATAAAACCAGTTTTTTTTGCTCCTTCATTAAAATCCTCCTGAAAACCCACACTTATCATTGGGCCAATGCGAAAACGAAAACGGTTAACCCTTATGGGACTGTATGCATTGATTTCGATACGCAAGCGAGGCGCACTATGAGACGTACATCTTGATTTCAATGCGCATGCTTTTTCTTGTTTGTTTCGTCGCACAGAGCTTTCGCCAGAGTTTTTGTAGCCAATGGATAGTAGTTGAACTCCGATCTTGTACTGGGAACAATCCATGGATGAAGTCCTCAGCGCACTATGCTTGTGAAAAGCCGTTTTCGGACGGTGGAATGGACTCGGCGGATATAAAAACATGAAAGAGACTCAAAAATACATTTGAAATAACGTAAAAAAACCATGGAGAAGCCGATAACACCGTGGTTAGATGAGGCACGCGTTCAAGAACATGGAAACAATAGATTGAAAATGCCAGGGTTTCATATAGTCCAAGAAGATGGAAACGTGCATAGGAGAGCACTGCAGGTACGCAGAAATTAAAACGACACGAAAAATATGTGAGACAAACAAGTAGTGTAACGACAATCTCAAGAAAGCGGTGCGCCGCGCTTCTTTACAGGACTCGCAGACCCTGCATCTTGATTTCAATGAGCAAGTCTATCATGCTGCAATAATACTCGGTCTAGTGGACCTGCCACAAAAAATTCGTCGAAATGGTGAAACGGTTAGATTCTGATAAGTGCAGAGGCTTCGCCTTTAAATGTCTTTCCAGTTTTATAAAGAAACAGTGGTATGCGTAGCACTGACAACGATGACCATATTAAAACTAAAATCCTATAATAACAATAAAATTCAGTTTGGACCGATTTCTAGCACTAGTCCTCCAAAAATGAAAACAAGGTCGATTACGAGTGGCTAAAAAAGTCGGTGAAGCTTCCGACCCACAATTTTGAGGTATTCCTGTATCAGCTCAACGTTTGCGGAAGTATTTCTTTTTCATCACCTGACATCACATGTTTTGTTGATCCCAGCACTTCCTTCATTCGAATCGTTTCCTGGCATCCATCATCCACGAAACCTCTTGACTTGTGGATTCGTTCGCTGTCTTGAGGCTTTGATCTCGAATCTTGAGGCGGCCAAGCTAGGGCGTTCCCAGATCCTCATCACAGGGCATTGGGCCAGTTTCTGTGGATTTCAGAGAGACAACCGATCGCAGGCAATTCTGGTACGAGTTGCCCAACCCTGGAGAGATATAAGTTTGTTCGATCCGAAGAGCGAATATACATCTATTCTCCAATCTTTTTGTTAGAAATAAACTTCAGCAGCAAAGTGTAGATTAGGGTTGAGAAGCAACATGCAGACTGGGAATTCGTTCTGAGCAATCTCCGAGACGAAAATGTTGCGCCCCTGGTTCGTGCATGAAGAGGCATCCCTCGCCTATCTCGGTATTCATGGCTTGTTCCTATCACATGAGAATGACTTTAAAACCGCGAACCTTTTTTCTTTTTTTTTTTGAAAAGATTTGCGTCATTTGCATCCCGAGACCTTGTGCGTTATTTCTTTGTCGAGTTTTGCCGACAACTGGCGAAGCGTTAGGTCGATTCTAATGGTAATTAACCTTATTGTCCCTACTTCGATGTAAAAAGAGGCAAAAAGTCAGATACCTTCCACATATACTTTTGGGACCGAAAATGAGTAAAGAAACACTTGGCTCTTTACTTCGACGTAATATATCATAGCGATGTTGAAATATTCGCAAAATTTGGACCTCGGGCCAGATCGAACCACTATTTCCCTTTCCGGCGGTTCGCGTACTACACAGTGCATCACGGAGGGCCTTAAATGCCCTAATATGTCATACTTCATTTAAAGCGTAAACTTCGTTCTAAACTTATATATTAGCGATTTTGTGTTAACCTGTGTTCAACTGCGGACGTTAAAATAGAAATCGAAAGCGGGTAAATTGCAGGCGGCTTAAAAAACCGCCTGAAACGGATGTATAAGGACCAGGTTGAGTGCCAGTCTATGTCATTCACTCGATAGCTTCATCTTCTCTGCCAGCTCGTCACCATCACCTGCCTATCGCGGTCTCTCATGGATTTGACAGCTTCTTCGTCAGTGGAGTGTTATAAATTATAAGGATGTTTCTCTCATCATGACGAGAACGATTCGACAGAGCGTGTTTTTCCCAACAACTATATTGGATGTTAGTTTCCCACAGACAGCAAGGTCGCTAGCACGCGTGTAGCGCAGTGGTCGGAGGCGCCCTGCAATACACATAGACTTGATTCGAGCGCCTCAGGCCCACCAAGTCCTTCACCCTTCCTGGATCGGCAAATTGGTATCAGACTTGTCTACTAGTATAGCAGCACTGGCTGGATGCATCAGTAGGCCACCGCGAGTCATTGTAAAGTCAGATATGTATTCAGTCACCTCCAACGATACATAATGAAGTCGAATGCATGGCGTATACCTCAGAGATAGATCAGCTCCGAGAGCTTTATCCTTTAATAGGATCGGTAGAAACCCGTCACCATACCATCTGTAGTCTCGTTAATCTTCGACCAAGTCGTTCGGAAACCAGTAAGCCCCGTTCGTTTCTCGTTGTGCAGCACAGTTGTCCAGCAGGCGCCGCTTAGTCAATCACGAGAAGGGAGCGCATTATACTTCCGCAATGATACCCTCTGCTTTTGCAATTTCTGCTAAACAGGATGCCACAAGCTTCTTGCATTGGCTGGGCTTCCGGACGTAAATGTTGAGGTCTATCTCGGCTGGGAAATCAAGCTAAAGCGGATAAACCATCATCGTGCATAGAGTGACGAACAACCCCCAGGCACAAATAGTTGGTAAGCCATAGAAGCGGGTGAAGCGAGCTGACACATTGAGCAATCGTCAGCCAAACTAGTCAGTTTGGCTACTTCCCTGTGGCATTTAATGAGTGGGTGAAGATGGAAACAACAGATGAAGTAGACAAATGTGCTCATTGATGCCTATACTTTCCACAGACTTCGTATAACTACAACTAGAAAGGAGGAAAATGAGAGATGTCCTGTGATTCTAATGTACATCCAGACGTAATAAGTAACAAAAATCAACAACTGAGTTCTACCACGTCTCCACATCAAAAACCAGAGAAATCTTGAATCCCTTATTTGTTACTAGAAAGTGTCGTATGGCCTCTTGTAGTCGCGGTTAGTGTGCTCCAATGACCCGGTCCTTTAACAAATTCGGCCTTGAAAGTACTGCACTCACGGTTGGACCAATTTGCGTTTCTTTCCAATCGTCGTTCGTAAAATTAGTCGAATTGCTTACAGATTGCTTTGATGATTCTCGTTGGCCACTTCTAATGTCGATCCGATCTTTAACTCGTCTGTTTTGTAGTAATGTTAACCTTCCATTCTCTGCCTACTACAATTTTTCACGACAAGGTACGATGTGAATTACAACCACAACGATGCTGAGGTATTCGCAAAACTTGGACCGCGGGCCAGACCGAACCACCATTTTCCTTTCCGGGGCGTCGAGCATTACACACTGCGCCACGGAGGCCCCCCTTTGCTCAATCTCAGCATCATTGTGGTTATTTTGTAGCAGTTGTTGATCGTTGATCAATCAAAAACGTAGTTGCATATTGGCTGTTTTGTTGTGCCTTTTGAGCGCCACAGATCCTTATCAAAGGAATCATTCTACGTGCTTTGTTATACCGCTGGTTTATAGAAATAATGGACTACACATGTAAAAAGGTAGCTCTTTTAGCTTTGGAGCGTGTTTTAAGAACACCAGGATCCCAGAATTTTAGTGGTGTCATTGTGTGAAGAAGATTCTCTGGTTGATTTTAACATACAGTGAGTCGTTTCCGCACAGTCGTTGTAACGAAATTTTAGCTTCTTCAAGGAATTTTGCACTTTGTTCTTAAGTCTAGTGGCTCAAATTGGACGCAAAATGATAAGAGCAGGGCTTTGATGGGAACGTGGTTGAGGTCTGCTGTTATAAAATAGAATATAATATGGAGAGCTTATTTTGTACAACGAAAATGCTTGAAAGTTAAAAGACCGAGTTTGCGGTCAGCCCAGAAGGGCTAGCATCAATCGTAAAGTATTGGATTACTGCAAAACTTGTGCGCCATTTGCGATCTTATTTTTATTGTTTGTGCTTTAGCAAGGGCTCGTGTAGGCAGTGGTTGGAGGCGCTTTGCGTGAGATCGTTCCAAGCGCCGAAGGCTCACCAAGCCTTCCATCCCTCCGGCTCCGGCAAACTGGTACCGGACTTGTCTGGGTGGAGAGCACTACTGGCTCAATACATCGGTAGGCCACCGCGAGTCATTGTAAAGGCCAGATATGCATTCAGTCGTTCTAACAATGCTTAATAAAGTCGAATCCATGGCGCATCTCTCAAGGATTGATCAACGCCGAGAGCTCTATCCTTATTGTTATGTTTTAGCAATAGTTTCTTTTCGAATTTTGGAATTTTGGGGAATGGAAAGCTTTTTTATGCACTTTCGTTCTGTTTGATTGAACTACAATATAAATTATATTTCTGACAAATCTTAAAGGTTAGAATCCAGAACTCCAAAATTTTAATGCATCGGAATAAATATGCTTATTTGTCGTTGGCTAAAATTTGTAGTTCCTTATGTTTCCTATTTAAACTACAATGGTCATTCTAAGCTGAGGTATTCATTCCACTGTAACGACGCTGTTTGATGTCATGTGTTAATTTTTGGTCAATCTATTCGGTGATGTTTGGTTGTGGCGTGCAGTGTAAGAAATCTAATGCGGAGCATTTTCAGTGAACTAAAAGGTAAGACATGACTAAGATCCGAGCTCGCGATCTCCGGAACCACAAAAAAGATGATCTCGTCAAGATGCTTGTCGAGCAGAAGACTGAGCTCGCCTCACTCCGGGTACGTTTCTTCCTTTGCCGCAGTCAAACATTAGTTCTGTTCCTTCTGTATGGCGTAGTGATGACTGTGGAGGCGATTCACTTTGATCTTTATGGTATTTTATCAGAGTCGCGGAATATTAGACGCCATCGTAACTTCTTCGCTATTTCATATTTGCTGAGTTTGTTTCAGTATCCTGGTTTTTTAATCCTATGTGATCGCTTTTAGGTTACTAAGGTCACAGGTGGTGCAGCTGCAAAACTTTGCAAAATTCGTCTAGTTCGTAAGACGATCGCTCGTATTCTTACTGTGATTAACCAGAACTACAAACAAGAACTTCGTAAATTCTACGTCGTGAGTTTCATATCTTTCCTTAAGTGTTCTGCTTTGACATACGTCATCGGTTACAATTACTACTGATGATTTGACACAACATTTATACATAACTTGTTCCTGTTATAGACGAACGAAGCGTTAGTGAAGATTTTCTATGTTTATTATTTCCAACGAAGTTTTCCGTTCAAGACTGTTTTCACGAATTCGCATGTAAAGGACTTTTATGACGTCACTATTTCGATATAAGTTTTTGTATAAGGTCTCTATTTTTTATTATTCAGGGTCACAAGTATAAACCGACGGATTTGCGAAAGAAGCAGACTCGAGCCATCAGAAGGCGCTTGACGAAGCATGAGCAGAGTTTGAAAACTGCTAAGCAATTACACAAACAGCGCGCTTTCCCCATGAGAAAGTTCGCTGTCAAAGGATAGTTTCTGTGTTATTTTGTCACGAAAATGAAACGTTGTTAACGAACCATTGAGAAGAGATGTTAGCCGTAGCTGTGTTGTTTCTTTAAGGCGACGAATCTCATACGTAAGTCCTGCTTTCATAAAATCATGACATTCTACGTAATAAATGTGGTCCATTGTCTGAGATTAAGAAGATTGAACATTTTCAAGTTTTTTGTTGTTTTTTTTTGTTAAGGTTTTTACATATAATCAGCCTAATAATTATCAGTCGTGGTCCATGTTTTGTTAGTTGGAAAAAGGTCAAGTGGTGTTTGAGATGTTTTCTGTTTCCGGGAAGAAAAAGTCATTAAGGCCTGATAAGCTTACATGAGGTTGTAGTATAGGTTTTATTAAGGCTGAAGTTTCGACGTGTTCGCCTTCTTCAGATTCGCAATGATTCGAGTCGATTGTACACAGGTCTTCATTCTTGCAGTATGGATGCACACCTCTCAAATAAGCGAGAGCGTCGGGTTGTTGGCCACGGTAGAACTTCATGTAACATGGAAGATTATCGATACAAAAAGACATTGGTTACTCATGTCGAGTTGAAATGGAGATCGGTGCTAAAACGGTATTGAGATTTCGTAAATCATTGAGCGCGATGGCACAGTCCCAGTGGTAGCGTAACTTTTGACGCTAGCTCCCTTTCTATCGTGATCAAGTTAAATGATGCACAATCTTTTGTTGGTATAGTGAATATGGAGGGTCGTATGCCGTATGCCATCCAGGGTATTTGTCCTTCTCTACGTCTTGTATTATCCTACGTCTTCTCAATGTCAATTGTGCTGCTCATTATTTATCTACATTGAAATTTGTGGAAGTGGTAATTAAACTATGGATTGCGATATGTTCGTAATAAAGTATCACAATTTGAGCACCGATGTTATGGCATTATTGTCCAGCCATGTGGTCCTTGTTTTTCCAGTTTTTATGGTAGGAATGGCATTTCCTAGTAACTGTTCGGTACAGAAGGACCGGTTTGGACAAAATCATTGGATTTCACATTCTCAATCACTTGCGAAACATATTTCGTCAAATAACTGGAGCACCTGGGAACTTGAAATTATTTTCGATTGGATGTCTAGTTCAGTTCAATTCGGAATACATGCTGATTCGGAATTTCCATATGGAAGTTGTGCAAAAAGTAAACCTAATCCACAGAATATCACGACAAACTGTCTTTGGCTAGGATCTTGCGGAAAAGGTGTAGCATTAAATGTTTTACGCTTTTCGTATCGATGTGGTACGCCAGGGGCGCGTGTGGCGCAGTGGTTGGAGGCGCCAATGCAACACACGTGGAACCGGCGCCAATAGCCGACCAAGCCTTCCATTCTTCCGGGGTCAGCAAATTAATACCATACTTGTCTGGGAGGATAGCAGTACTGGCTCGATACATCGGTAAGCCACCGCGAGTCATTGTAAAGGCCAGATATGCATTCAGTCACCTCCAACGATACTTAATGAACTCGAATGCATGATGCATCCATCAGCGATTGATCAACGCCGAGAGCTTTAGCTTTATCCTTTTTATGGTACGCTAGCCTCCCTGAGCAGGTTTAGTGTTACACGTGGACAAATGGAGAGTATTGCTGCATACCGGAGTTAACGGATGATGAACTGATGCACAGGGATAGAGTTTTTTTTCTTGGAATAGGGAAGGCTCACCGTTAAAAAAAAGGTGGACACTTAATTGAAAATTGAAGAGAGCTTTATATGGCCGAATTGTTAGTTATCATCCATGAGCAAAATTATCTGCACAGTTCTCATCAAATTCCTGATCTAGTTTGCGATGAGAACTACGTTTCTGATTCATTCATTTTTCGGGCTCTATTTAAGAAAAATAAGAATAATTGGAGTGATTGTGTACTATCTTTCAACTTGAAGTTTAGACCTGTGCTCTCTCCCTCCGTCGTTTCACTTACAGCTACATCCCTCGAATTCAAAGAGCGAACGCCTTGGATCCTCATTTTTTTAATGGACTTATGGGCACGCGTAACGTAATGGATGCAGCGCAACGGTCGGAGGCGCCCACATGAGATCGATCCCCGCACACCAGGCCCAGGTCCGCCAAGCCTTCCATCCCTCCGGAGTCATCAACTGGTACTGAGTGGATAGCAACTCTGGCTCGATACATCGGTAGGCCACCACGAGTCATTGTAAAGGATAGACATGAATTCAGTTACCTACAACGATGCTTAGTGAAGTCATGGCATGGATGAACGCATGGCGCGTCCCGCAGGGATTGATCAACGCTGAGAGCTTTTTATAAAACGGACTTAAGAGCCAACAGCTTCCTCGTGTTATTCGGTAGTCACCAATTTTCTGTGGTTGGTGCCATTCAACCAAAAACCATCCAAGGACCTCTAGCAACACTAGTTCTGGCCGAAACCCAACTTATAACATTCTCTATATTTCCACGAGTTTCCGAGTTTCTAATGCCATTTCCCAAACATTCAAATCCGTTGTTCAAAGCGGAGATACGTGATCCTCGTCTGGTAAAGGGATATGCGACCATCAATGAATTAAGTTGATAAATATTGAGCTCATAAAGTTAATGGATCAATGCTTTCGTATAGAAAGGCAAAGTAAAGCAAGTTCAAAGAGTAAATCAATTTGGGAAACGACAAAATAAGCAACTACTCAAAAAGTAATTGAATTTCATCGCTTTTGAACAAGGCATCTAATGTTGGGCAATATTAATTGGGCAGGGAAACAAAGTGGCAACTTGACTAAAGTGACACCGACCGGTCTCCTATCATGGAACCGTCCCGAAGAGGATGCCGAGTCTTGTGAAATGAGGGCGATTGGCGCGCTGCGGTCGCGATGCGGCATGTTCTTCCGTTCTCGCGTCGACGGCGAATCCTGACGTCCAGATGGACGGGTCGTGTTCATGGCTGTCATTCACTAGCGCTCTAATCATGCCCGAATATCACCTATTTGACGATGTTCCCATGGCGATGGGCGCCTTCACATTCTCTGGGTGTCTGCACCGGCAATCATAGGAGTCCTTGTAGACATTCTTCTACAATATTATTTTCTCCTAATTGTTTCAATTTTTCAAACCGTAGTCGAAACTTAGTGTAAATGGGACTGGTTCATGTCTCGTGAATCGGAGATCCAAGATCGTCATTCCCGCCCATCACCTGAGGTCATTCGCAGTGAGCGCCATGTCGTACGGAGGCGTGTTGTGTTGAGAAACGCACGAAGTGCAACAGTCCTCCCATCCGCTGTGGATAACGTAAATATACTGCCGTCTTCTGTACGACGTATGACGGTGTTCGCCACTATCCTAGGATTTCATGTCTTGTTGCAAAAAATCGATTGAATCTCCTTCCACTTCTTTTTCGTTTTTCTCTTGGTTCAAGTCCTATCATGTTATTCTTCCCGAACGTTATTCTTCAAAACTGTGGCGAAACAGCATAGAAAGCTTGCTCTACCAGATCTGTGCAGTATATCTTCCGCGTCTGAGTTTTAATCAAGTAATGATGAAATCGCGGTCTCGATTTTATGACTTTATGAGAGGATAGGATTAAGCTGTCGGCGTTGATCAATCCCTAAGGGATGCACCATGTATTCGACCTCATTAAGCATCGTTTGAAGGTGATTGAATGCATATCTCTTTACAATAACTCGCGATGGCCTAACAATGTATCGAGCCAGTTCTGCTATCCTTCCAGACAAGTCTAGTACCAATTTGCCGACCCCGGAAGGATTGGAGGCTCGGTGAGCCAGGGGCGCGGGGATCGATTCCACGTCTGTGTCGCAGGGCGCCTCCGACCACTGCACTATGCGCGGCCCTTATGAGCTTACAAGATGTGAAAGTGGTAGACACGAATCAATCTACTGAGTTAGTTTCTGAATCAATCAATGTCAAGACTATTTGTATATGTTTTATTTACTATTATGCTTTATAACTGTGTAGTTTCATAACTTTGTAGATCTATAGTGATCCAGCAGTCAGTAGAAATTCGTAATCGTGACAATTAATGTTGCCAATAAGATTTATCTCTGTTTCTGACGTCATGTTAAGAAAAAGTAGCGCTGATCACCAAGGGGTCACAAATGGTAGATGACCTGACTGCGATTCGTCTCTTAGCGTGATTATACGTTGAGTGGTACTGTCTCCTAAGAACATTGAGTATTCCTAATCACAAAGTTGAAAATACAAAATCAGTTCTGAGCTTCGAAGTTTTAGGCGATCAAACCGAAAAACACATGGCTTTCTAGGCACACCTTGGAACCTCCGACTACAAGTAACCAACAGATGTCAGGCTTTCGAATAGCTGAATGATTCTATCATCGCGTGAACATAGAATTCTATCGGTTTTACTTTTTTTACACAACCCAACATCACATGTTGTGCGGAAGTCAACACTTCCCACATTCGGTTCGGTTTCTCGCATACATCATCTACAAATGTTTTTGGATTTCTCGTGTACATGCGGCCACTGCTTAAGGATTTTAGTTCTTCTATATGAATGTCATGTATTGCTGGTTCATTCGATTCTCCATGGAGTCCTGGCTTAGCAGTACTAGGACATTAACAGATCTTTATCACAGGCAGGCGCCATCTTTTGTTGATTATAGGAAACGAACTGATTCCGGTCAGACCAGGTACGTATGCTCCACTTCTTGGGGATGAGGTGCTGGATGGGACAGGAGTTAGATGGCTCGAATCGTCGGTTTGCCCTTATTGGACGGCATCAATGCCACGGCTCTATCTGCGCCGTATTCTAACGAAAATCATCGATTTCTACGCTGAAAATGCTTCATGGGCTTTCAAATCACGTGCGACTTGGTGCGAATGCGTACACCGGTTAAAAATTGACACGAGTGTGTTCCTACCTTGTGTAACGTTTTCAAGAATTCCAAGTTTGATAGCGATAATATACGATTTCTATCAAGGTCTACTTTTTGTAGCAACATCAAGACGAAGATGAAAGATGGTTGGAGAGATCCTCCCGTTTTGTTTTTGTTCTCGA